AACCATTATACCCTGATTTCCCATTTTCAATGGGTTCAGGGTATAAAAATTAATCGATGAAAAATGGTGGATTGGCTATTAATAATTTATTGTTGGAATAATCGATTTTGGTTTCAATTTTGTGATATAATTATGTGTATCATACGAATCGTCGTGCCTTTATCAATGATTCTAAAAGATAAATAAGTGTTGACTGCATTGAATGCAATTGAAACAACTTAACAATACAAGTACGACAAACTTATTGTTCTATAGGACTTTTCTCCGTTATATACCCATAATTGAGGCACGCTTTCGTATTGAGACAAAGACCTACGCAGCTAGCATTCAAAATATAATTTCCTCCTGGTCCACCTTAAAAACTTTTATGTTGTGAGGAAAACTTTATCGCATATCCCTGCATCTTTCGCAGGTTTAGCTAACGACAGTCGAGAGGCACTCAACCGTATTCGAATTTAATAGCCAAGCTTGGCAGTTGCGCTACTCACATTGGTTGACAGCTGGCTGCTCAGGCTGAGCACCTGTTCCCGTGCATCCTGCAGTTCGCGCTTCAATCGCCGTATTTCGTGCGCCTGCCGCTCCTCCGCCGAGCCATACAACGAGCTGCCGCCGGATAACAGCGAGGCGGCGCTGCCATGAACTGAAAGAGGTATAAGGAGAGGGCAGTTTAGCATTTATCCGTAGCATAAGTACAGTGAGCACTCTGTCAACGAACAGTAATCATACAAAAGCAATGCATATATCGCTGATCTCTTTTGTTCTTCTCTGTTCCTCTTAGCGAGGTCTCACTGTGGCTGCCCATAACTCACCTTCATCATTCTTTTTGGGATATGTTAGACGATGTGATGCATTGCTGCCGCCATGTCCGGCTCCTGCTGCCGCAGCTGCCACCGCTGCCAGCGCCGCTGCCGCTGTGCCATGTGTGGGCGACAGCGCACTCGCCGCCGAGGCGAAGGGGCCTCGGTTGAGGGGCGTGGGCGAGGTGGGCTGACTCCAGGCGACGGCTGCAGCTGCCGCTGTCGCAGCGCCGCCCACGCCGCTGCCCCCTTGCGACTGGGCATGAGCCTGTGCCTGAGCCTGGGCCACTGCGGCGGCCATTTGGGCGCTGAGGACTCCATTGGTGGCGCCCACCGGCAGGCAGTAGTACGGCTCTATTTCGACCTCGCCGCCGCGACTCAGCATCGAGGGATACATTTTCTCTGATTTTGTGGATCTGCGGGTAATTGCAAAAGGCCAAATCGAAATATTTGATTAGTTTTCAGATCTTGTTATGGCTGTGTGTGTGTGTGTGTGTGTGTGTGTATGGGTGGCTATTAATATGACAGAATTGCGTACGGCTCGGACATCCACATTTATAAATTTGACAACCAAATTGTGTTTACGCATAACCAAGAAGAACAGTGAAACAATACAGTTAAACAGTTAAGTTTTTGGAGAACTAGCTTAAATAAAAGACTATATATATTCTAGGATTAAAAAGTATATCCCGTGAGCCGTCATAATTAATAATGGAAGTTAATTGAATAGCATCAAGTCTTTTCAAGTGTTTAAAATTAAATATAAATATATAGAATATCGGTAAACAAAATAGATTTAAAATATTTTAAAGATTTTTTCTTTCTTCATTTTTCATCTTTCATCTCTCTTAACTCTAACAAGTAAGAAAGCTCTAGTCGAGACTGCTCGACTACGAGATCCCCTGAAC